ATTGCTGCATAAAAAAGAAAAATCTTTAGTATATTATAAATATATTTATATAATTATAATTAATAGTATTTATCATATTAATAATCTACTTTACTAGATAAATTTTCTAAATCTTTGAAAAGAAATTAATTATGATATCTATGTCAACTATTGTAGTTTTTTTTTTAAAGGAAAAAGAGATTGTCTTTATCAAATAAAAAGCAATACCCGGGTTGCAAAATAATAAAAATTATATAGGATTTAAGGAAATGTCTTACACATTTATGTAAATTTTGATGAAATTATCCTGAGCTAAAACTTCTCCTTCATGCAACCATTAAGTGAAAAAGAGAGAGAGCTAAAACAACATCTTAAAACTTCTCCTTCATGCAACAATTAAGTGAAAAAGAGAGAGAGCTAAAACAACATCTCACGGCTAAAAGATTCATGAACATAGCACGAAGAACCAATTTACTCAACAGATGCAGTTTCAATGAGATCCTGAAATTTTTCATAAACCTTAGAATAACAAGAAAGTGAACAGATAAGCTAGAAGTGGATGACAATATTTTAAAACAAAGCTTGAATACCATGCATATACTCAGCTCATAATTAGGGTTTTTCTCTTCCAAAGGTGAAATTTAGAATAATTATTTCCATGGCATAAAAATACAAATTTAATAATTACATCACCTCTGCATCCGCATAATAAGCTAGCTAGCATTGTTTCAGCACTGCTCCTCAATCTGTGAACTCCACAGTCTATTCATAGCTTGATTCATTAATAGGTAGAACTGGTAAGGTAAAAGAGTTCATTTCACTCCATATAATGCTTTCTGATACATTAACACTCTCATTGATCAAGCTGCTCATTCCATAGACGAAATCGAAGCTTTCAAGCTTCATTAATGAGTTATTATCAGTATAATTAAATCCTTGCTCAAAAAATTCTGGACCCTCATTCGTTAATGGTGAGCCATTACTTAAAATACTATCATGGCTTGAATAAGCCATGGTGTTCACAGGAGTTTCATAAATGGCATGTGGTATTTTCAAGGAAGGAGCAACTTGTACTTGATGGGGTCCATGACCACAGCATAGAAACCTCAAATCAGCAAATTTCATCTGTGATTTACTGATTGAAGTATGGCTTTGATTAACATCAGAGATTTGATCAGTAGAGTGGAAGGGGATAGCAGTGATGGGTTGATTGAGCCATGCCTTGTTAGCTTCATTAGTAACACTTACAGACTGCTTATCAGCTTTGTTTTTAATAATGACTTGCTTTAGATTACAAGAACGACGGTGCTGTTGATTTTTGCGCTGTTTTCCGAGCAGCCTCGTCTTCAGCTTAGTGTTCCAGTGATTTTTAATGTCATTGTCAGTTCTTCCTGGAAGATGTGCAGCAATAATAGACCATCTGAGATAAGACAAGAGAACTATATACAGGTTATGTTCAGCTGATAGTTGAAGAATAGTAAATCAAATAATTAAGAAATATCGAACAATCTTTGTGCCTGAAGTTAGGATTAGATGTCTGCTATAGAAATAAAAGCGTTCAAAGCCTCGTACTGTGTCGGAATTATATATGTGACAAGGGAAATTAAAAAAAAAAAGAACAATTTAGTTGAAGGAGAGTGAAACAATTGATTAAGAAGATATATGCTATAATATTAAGCAATTTGGGACATTGGAATTTTGGCAACTGATGTATAAAGCTAGGGTTAGGGATATTTAGACTTAAAAAGGTAGCTGATTCTGATTTTATGAGAATATATAGAATTACGAGCGTATGAGATATACACCTTAACAAACTTTTTGAATTTATACAAAAAGATAGACAAGGAGAAATTTTTTGAAAGATCACAACTAATCAACTTACTGTTAAGTTAATCATCATGAGATTACAAAAAAAAATAAGTTAGTCATCAGTCAAACCTGCTCCCAATTGCAATATAAAGGCTGCAAATGATGTTGTCTTCTTCATCTGAGAAGCTTCCATGTCTTATATTTGGTCTGAGATAATTAAGCCATCGAAGGCGGCAGCTCTTCCCACATCTCTTGAGGCCTTGCTTAGAATTAATAAATAATTCATAAACTAAGCACTTAATATGTAGTTTTGAACAAAACATTTATATTTATATCCATAAATATATGTCATGAACATATGTATCAACATTGATACATCTAAAACTCACCTATCTTTTGAGGGAGAGCGATCCAGTTGCCACCAGTTCCGTGCTTCTCTATGTAAGATTTGAGCCTTTCATCTTCCTCAGGAGACCATGGGCCTTTCTTCACGTTGGCTTTGTCACAGCAAGGAGCTCTTCCCATCCTGATTGATTCTGATCGATCGATCTCCTTCTTGTCTCTTGGGAAAGAAGGACGACAAATTTTTCTTTCTTTCTTTCTTTCTTTCTTGCTTCCTTTTTTTAATTTTTATTTATTGCTTTCTTATCTTTACGCTCTAATTTAAAGCTTAATAAAGAGGGGTCGGTGGTGTCATGATAAAAAGTAGAGATTTATTTAGAGTTAAAGGTGGATAGCTTTCTGTTGGTTCTATCTTAAGAGTAGATTCCTGATTAAGTTTATGATCAGTGGCGAGCAATTAGTGTGTCATGTCCCTCTTTTAGTTTCTTAATTATTTCTTATAGAAATGTTATGCGAACATAATCTGTAATTATATGTATGAAGTTTATCATGTACGTACAAGTAAAAATATTTGCGTAGAGGACGAACAGTTTCACTGGCCTGTTCAGCCAGGGCAGATAATTCCAGTTTGGTGACTTCGGAAATGAAGAAACGCCATTCTTTTTTAATTTGGATTGGGCTAGATGAGGATAATAGATTAAAAGTAGAATAATATATATTATCTTCTAAAGTAGTGAGATATATGTATATATAAATTTATTTATTTATTTAGTGAGACAGTTTTTATTGTTTTAGTTATACTGCCATTCAACACACAATCAACCAAGTAGATAAAATTTTGCTGGGGGAATGTGATTTTTTTATATGGAAAATAGGAAAAGAGAATTAGTTGATTCAACTTTTAGTTGAAATAGCTTCAACTAATAATAGTTATATGTTACAATGAATCCCATTTCTCAAATTAACAAAGAGATGACTTCAATGCAAAACAA